CATAATGTCACCGCTGCTGAAATACTCTATGCCATCGACTGTTCTACATTCTATCTTGGCAAGTCTTCCTCCAGCACAATACTGAGACATTTGGCTTCCTGTAAGTACCTCACGGTCACCGTCTCCAGTTGTGGGCTTGTCATTGTTCACCCATGGGGTCCATTGAGACTTGGTGCAAGATGTTGTTCCAGGGCTGGCAGTTGGTGTACCGCTTCCTCCAATTACAGGGCTGGCTGTAGGTGTACCGCTTCCTCCAATTCCAGGACCTGATGTTGGTGTACCGCTTTTTCCAATTCCTGGACTTGATGTTGGTGTACCACTTCCTCCAATTCCGGGGCTGGCTGTTGGTGTACCACTTCCTCCAATTCCGGGGCTGGCAGAAGGTGTAATGCTTCCTCCAATTCCAGGACTGGCTGTTGGTGTACCACTTCCTCCAATTCCGGGGCTGGCAGTAGGTGTACCGCTACCTCCAATTCCAGGACTGGCTGTTGGTGTACCACTTCCTCCAATTCCGGGACTGGCAGTTGGAGCTCCAGTGGTTACTGGTGTTGTACATTCACAGAAGTAGCGAATCTGGTAGTCGCTGCAAGGCATTGGGAAATTATCAGCATTGTTACAAGTGGATCCACCTGCCATTGTACACTGCATTACCTCACCACTGCTATAATATTCAATACCATCGACCGTCATGCACTCGATCTTAGTGAGTTTTCCTCCAGAGCAGTATTGCTTCTGCAACTCAGGTGAGATCTTCTCGTAGTCGCCTCCACCAACACCAGGCTTGTCCTGGTTGATCCATCGGCTCCACTGGCTAGTTGTACAGGTGGCAGTAGAAGGAACCTCTGTCCCAGATGTTGGAGGTTTAGCTGTTGGTGCGCCTAAAGAGGAGGTAAGAGTCAATCAATACCTAACCTAACATAAATGTAAGTGATGAATCTCTGTGATGATTATTGATCGATGATATATCTCACATAGAATTATAACGGCATACAATGATTCAGAGCAGTATGAAAATATAAAACGTGAAAGCCAATAGATAGCCGAAACATATTCCTTTGTGTGTTACAGGCGTAGTTCAAGTGAAAACTGCACGAATAGATCACAAAATTCAGTAAAGATGACTGGTGGTTTACGATGTGTTCATATGTCCGGTGTTACCGAAAAATGAACTAATCAGAAAGAAAATATGTCAGCATACAGTTAATGACAGAAAACGACAAAACATTTGCCTACTTTCACACTGGCACTTGAATCTCATCTTGTAGTCATGACACTTCATTGGCGTGTTGTCGCTGTGCTTGCAGGAGAGTCCGGTTTGAGCATCACATGTCACAATATCCCCACTGAGATAGAAAGCCATGTTTTCCTTAACTGTCTGACACTCGACCTCGCCTACAGAACCACCAGCGCAGTGTCTATCGAGGTCTTCCTTTGTCACCTTTTCAGTCTCACCTGCAAGGAAACAATCATACACTGCACAGGAAACAAGCAGTGCCGCATTCTGGAGAAAACGTTTGCTGATCCCACAAAGGATCTGGATACGGTTATGGACACGTGTTCAAAGGATGTAGTCCATATGATTAGGGATATAGCTGGACATTATAGCTGTAAAGGCAATGTAAAACCTTCCCACTTCTTAATCATGTATACTATCACAATTGTATGAAAACGAGACAAAACTGTCAACTCTGTTCTTACTGTTATGAGACTTGGAAATGAGTCCAACATTGACCATTAATGAATTAATGAACAACGTATACTCACCGACAGCATCAGGTTCGTGTCTGTTGATCCAGTCCGACCATTTGTTATCACAAGCCTTGGGGGCAGCTGTGGGCAGCTTAGACTTGACTGTAGGTGCTGCTGTAGGCTTACCGCATTCATCACAGAAGACTCTTATTTCATAGTCGGAGCACGTTTTGCCTCCCTTTTGATCTGTGTTCATACAGACAAGGGACTTGGTGTCAAGGTTACACATGACTCCGGTTTCTCCTGTCTGGTCGAATGGTATTTTGCCTGTAGCTGTTCTGCATTCCATTTTCTTGACGTACTTGGTGTCACAGATCTTCACCACGGTCATCATGTCCCAGAATGACTCGTATTCGCCATTGGTGTCTGGGGTATTGGAGTTGACCCATGGTGTCCAGTACATGCAGGATGAGGTAGATGGGGCGTTCGTGAAAACAGGGCTGACCGTTGGGGCAGCTGTTGGAATAGCTGTTGGCACTGTGAGTCCAGTTGGTACGGATGGCGTGGCAGAAGGAAGTTGGCATCCGTAGACGTTGAACCTCATTCCGATTGCTTCATGCCATTCCACTGGTCTGATCCTTATAAACCGTGCATTAATTTCGGGGAAGACGTTCATGAGGGGGGGTGTTCTGATCAAAGTTACCCTCGAACACACGTGGAACTGAGTCTGTTGGAGCTGTGTTGACTGCATTGAAAGTACGCCCGTCGTTGCTGTAGTAGACCTCGTACTTGGTCACCCATGTAGCACCATCAGATCGTCCTTGAGTAGAGACGCCAGCTATTGCATAGCTTGCACCGAAGTCAACCTCGATCCATTGCTTCGTGTCTGTGTATCTGTATATACACATTCAGGATATATCATGCACATTCTGTTAGTTAGCCAAGTGCTGTCATTGAAGTGAGGCCATCACATTGGGACAAAGTATTATGGGTATGTATTACTACACGAAAACTCAAATGCAGTTTCGACATTTACAACTTAAGTGTCTAAACACATTTGGGACACGAGAAACGCGTCTCATTTTGAATAGATAATGTTTATACGGTGAACTTTGTAAACCTAACATAGTTAGTGTTTCAACAGACTGGAGTAAAATTAAACACAGATACTTTCATTGTAATGTACATCTTGAAACTACTTGACCTTTCTTGTTCATTCCTTTATGGTGGGAGATCATATTCGTTAAAGATTTATTTACAACAAAACTTATATTTCATTACCCACATATGCAAAATGTATGAAGCCCCTTTCTGGTGACATTGCAGAGATGTTACTAAAAGCGGCATAAAACCATATTCATTTCTTTCATTGCTTAATGCTTTCACACTTACTTTGGAATCCAACCTCCCGAATAAGCGCCATCCTTCTGCGTGTAGGGTCGTGCACGCTCGGCACCGGTGAACTGGTTGAGGGAAGAAGATGCTGAGAGTTGTCTGTCACCAATGAGACCAGGGTTTTCAATTCCCATGGGAACATCACATTCTGAAAACATAACCAGGATATAAACAAATGTGCATCAACGCTTTATACTAGCATCAGAAGGATGGAAGAATTGGCACAGGAGGATTGAACATCATAGTGTTGTAATTTGTAGAACGTACAACATATCCTAACTTACTGAGGAAGGATTGGACAATAGTGTGTTGACACCATATGTAGGTCCTACAACATATCCTAAACTTACTTAGGAAGGATTGAACATTAGTGTGTTGTATTTTGTAGAACGTACAACATATCCTAACTTACTGAGGAAGGATTGAACAATAGTGTGTTGACACCATATGTAGGACCTACAACATATCCTAAACTTACTGAGGAAGGATTAAACATTAGTGTGTTGTATTTTGTAGAACGTACAACATATCCTAACTTACTGGGGAAGGATTGAACAATAGTGTGTTGACACGATATGTGGGACCTACAACATATCCTAAACTTACTGAGGAAGGTTGAACATTAGTGTGTTCACACTATGTGTAGAACGTAATACATATCATAACTTGAGTGTGTTGTTATCTTATGTAGAACATACAACTTACTGAGGAAGGGTCCTTGTGTAGATTGTCCAAAGGGAGGAGAGGCTGTAGGAACGCCAGGAATGGCTGTTGGTGGCTTGGGCTGTGGTGGTGTGCAACCAAGGATATTGAAACGCATGGCAATACCGTCCTTTGACCACTCCATTGGCACGATGCGGACATACTGTGCAGTGATGTCACGGTTGAACAGGTTCCTAATTGGTGTGTTTTTATCCATATTTCCCTCGAAGACGGCAGGTGTTGACTCTCCAGGGATAATTGTGTATGGGGAAAAGTCTTGTCCGTTAAATCCATAGAAGACGCTGTATTTCGTTACCCATTTAGGAGCTTCGGGGCTACCTTGTGTCATCACACCAGAGATGAGAGTTGGCTTCAGGAAGTCCACTTGGATCCACTGTTTGTCAGTTGATCTAAAAGACAGAGACGAAATGGTAATAAAATCACATGCTTAAACAAACAGATGTAATCAAGGAATATCGTCCATGGATAATTTATTGATGAAGAATAAATAGGGAAGAAACATCTGATTGAGTGATTAATTAAATAATCTAATTAAACAAAGATCAATTGATCATATGATTACAGTGTACTCACGATGGGCTCCATGCTCCATTTGTGTATAAACGCCCTGCTGCTGCAGAATGTTTGGCATCAATAGAGGATGAAGATGTGAGCTGGCTGTTGCTGACAAAGTAGGAGTTCTCGATACCCATTGGGATGAGACACACTGAAAATAATATTTGCATTTGTATATATTTGGAATGTAGTGAGAGCCAAAAGTAAATGTCAAACGTGAACGACAGAGCTAATTCAATTTGAAATATGTGCCGAAACAAATTGCACATGGTCGTGAAAAGACGGTGAAAATTAACGGTTCAATAAAAATTAGCAATGATACTCAGTCTTCTATTAAAGGGTAAGCATCTGACGCCAGGAAGCATATGTCACTCACGCTAGTAACACAAGTTACACCGTTTGAGGTCTTCATAAGACATTAAAATGAAGCTCTCAGATCTTTGTCCCATACTAATGATAAGAAGGACTTTACAACAACCTACCAGATGGAGTGGTGAGTTCCGGGACTGGGCTGGCTGTTGGTTGACCACTCTGTCCAGCGCTAGGGCTAGCTGTTGGTTGACCACTCTGTTCAGCGCTAGGGCTAGCTGTTGGCTGACCACTTTGTCCAGCGCTTGGGCTGGCTGTTGGGCCTTGACCAGCACTTGGGCTGGCTGTGGGTACACCGCTCTTTCCGCCGACTGGAGGACTAGCTGTGGGAGCTCCTGCTGTTGTTGGTATCAGGGGATTAGTTGGGGATGGATTGCAACCGAGGATGTTGAATCTGAGGGATGTTTCTCCGTTAGACGTCAATGGAACAATACGGACGAAACGTGCAGTGATATCTCTGTTGAAAAGGACAGGAACTGGTGTTTTGGAGTCAGAGCTGCCATTGAACACCTTGACGGGCTTGCCCGCAGTGTCAGTGTAGTCAGTGAAGGTTTTGCCATCGAAGCTGTAACTGACGGTGTAGGTCTCAACCCAGCTGTTGTCCTTTCCGGATCCCTGGGTTATTACACCCGAGACAGTCTTGGGCTCTAGGAAATCTACCTGAATCCAGGGTGTTTTATCTGTGGGTCTGTAACCAGAAATAATCAAGCTTGAATTTGTCAGTTGCTATCGTCAGGAAATACATTCATGCATAAATTGCTGATTTACTGTTAAAGAATCATATTTATACTCTACAATATAAAACACATTTCTATTCAGCTAAGACTCTCTACATTAATATCGTGAAAACGAGCACTGCTTTCAATATTTTATTTTGCTTTTACAAAATATGAACACCAATGTGCATTGCGTGACCTTGTTTGTATAGACCATCAACAACAAAACATAAAATGTAATGACTTACGCGGGGACCCATGACCCAGCAAACTCGTCCGTTCCTTGGTTGATTCGTGCATAGATTGAACCATGTGCCTTGTCCTTCTCCGATGAAGCAGTCAACTGACTTTCGCCAACAATCCTGTAGTTTTCCACTCCCATGGGAATAGTGCAGACTGGAAAACATCAATACTGTTATTTGAAACGAAGGTAGAGGCACAACTGATTGAACTGTAAAACTATTCTGCTAAGATTATATTAGATCGTCAGGAATACAGTACCATTTGTGTGACATTGTGGTTTACCTTCATAAGTGATACCGTGGCATTCAACATTCCAGATGACAAAGCACTGATTTGTATTGATTTGTGAACTTCAAGTTAACTTTAACATACAGTTGTTAAGTACATAGCATTTCTTTGCTGTTTGCAACCTAGTTCTTTTACCAACTGATTCTCGGTTAACGTTTTAGCTAATCATCTGTTAAAATGGCATGTTTTAAATATCTGTACGTTTGAAGCAACATGTGTTAGGGCAAAAATAATAATATGATGTTGGTGATGTACAAATTTCATCGGTTTGTGACACTCACCTGGTTCAAGCGTTGACACTGGTGATGGCTCTGGCATGGTAACTCCAGTTGTCATTGTGAACCCAGGGGCAACTGAAGGCTTGGCAGTAGGTGTCAGTGTGGGTTGGACACTTGGCTTGTAGCAGCCCAGCAAGTTGAAACGCATTCCAATTCCAGCTGGAGACCAGGCGAAGGGGGTGATCTTGATGTACTGAACAGTCACCTGCTCGGGGAAGATGTTCTTCATGACGGTGTTCCTGTCGCTGTTCCCAGTGAAGATCATGCTCTTTCCTGTTGCTGAGTCTTTGATAGGAGTAAAGGTGAAGCCGTCTGTACTGTAGGACACGATGAATTGTGTAACCCATTTGTCACTGATGGAGCTTCCTTGGGTCAAGATACCATTAAGGACCTGTGGCTTCAGGAAATTCACCATGATCCACTGGTCACCGTTGTTGACTCTGTTCAAATGAAAATCATCCAGTATGTAAACTTCTCTCACGATAAAGCTCATTTCAAAGGCTATATTGAATAAAATCCAATTGTGTTTGATTACAACGAACCAAATTATATCTAACACTGAGTATCCAATATTTTGGAACTGCAATATCTACTTACTTGGGTGACCAGGCTCCGAATTCATTGAAGAGACGTCCGGCAGGAGCATTGAATCTGTTGCCACTAAATCCTGAGGATGTGAGCTGAGAGTCCTTGACAATTAAAACGTTGTCTAATCCCATTGGCTGGCTGCACAGGACACCTGTGAATGGACCATATGTCAGTAATATTCCAAACTAAATAAATATCACATGATTTTGAAATTTGAATTTGAGTTTGAATATTTTCTTTTGAGTAGATATAAGATACATACCGGACGACACTCCTGGTGGAACAGCAGTTGGACTTCCGGAGACGCCTGGTGGAACGGCAGTTGGACTTCCAGAAACGCCTGGTGGAACGGCAGTTGGACCTCCGGAGACGCCTGGTGGAACAGCAGTTGGACTTCCAGAGACACCTTGTGGAACGGCAGTTGGACTTCCGGAAACGCCTGGTGGAACGGCAGTTGGACTTCCGGAAACGCCTGGTGGAACGGCAGTTGGACTTCCGGAAACGCCTGGTGGAACGGCAGTTGGACTTCCGGAAACACCTGGTGGAACGGCAGTTGGGCTACCAGAGACGCCTGGTGGAACAGCAGTTGGACCTCCGGAGACGCCTGGTGGAACGGCAGTTGGACTTCCGGAAACGCCTGGTGGAACGGCAGTGGGACTTCCGGAAACGCCTGGTGGAACGGCAGTTGGACTTCCGGAGACGCCTGATGGAACGGCAGTTGGACTTCCGGAGACACCTGGTGGAACGGCAGTTGGGCTACCAGAGACGCCTGGTGGTAGAGCAGTTGGAGATCTGGAGACACCGGGTGGAACGGCAGTTGGACTTCCAGAGACGCCTGGTGGTACAGCAGTTGGACTTCCGGAGACACCTGGTGGTACAGCAGTTGGAGATCCGGAGACGCCTGGTGGAACGGCAGTTGGGCTACCAGAGACGCCTGGTGGTACAGCAGTTGGACTTCCGGAGACACCGGGTGGAACGGCAGTTGGGCTTCTCGAAATCCCAGTCTTTGGAGTTGGAATTCCAGAGATTCCAGCCTTGGGTGAAGGGGTTGGGCTACCAGAGACACCGGCTGGAACGGCAGTTGGACCTCCGGAGACACCTGGTGGGATGGCAGTTGGACTTCCAGAGACACCTGGTGGAACGGCAGTTGGACTTCCAGAGACACCTGGTGGAACGGCAGTTGGACTTCCAGAGACACCTGGTGGAACGGCAGTTGGACTTCCAGAGACGCCTGGTGGAACGGCAGTTGGACCTCCGGAGACACCTGGTGGGATGGCAGTTGGACTTCCAGAGACACCTGGTGGAACGGCAGTTGGACTTCCGGAGACACCTGGTGGAACGGTAGTTGGACTTCCAGAGACACCTGGTGGAACGGCAGTTGGACTTCCAGAGACACCTGGTGGAACGGCAGTTGGACTTCCAGAGACACCGGGTGGAACGGCAGTGGGACTACCAGAGACACCTGGTGGAACGGCAGTTGGACTTCCAGAGACACCTGGTGGAACGGCAGTTGGACTTCCGGAGACACCGGGTGGAACGGCAGTTGGACTTCCGGAAACGCCTGGTGGAACGGCAGTTGGACTTCCGGTGACGCCTGGTGGGGCAATAGTGGCTGGTCCACTTGTAAGCCCTGAACATGATAGAACATCAAAACGGAGAGCAATCATGACATTCCATTCCTGAGGATGGATTCGAACATATCTGGCAATTATTTCTCTGTCAAACAAACCTCTGACCTGAGTATTTCTGTCGGAATTGCCAGTGAACACAACTGTAGCTGTTTCCCCACTCCTAGTGTAAGGAGTAAAGTCAATGCCATCTATACTGGTAAGAACAGTGTATTTGGTGACCCAGTGATCCATGGATGGTCGACCCTGTGTTACTACTCCAGTAATGAACTCGGGATGTTTGAGGTCTACCTGGATCCACTGCTCTTTGTCGTTCATTCTGAAACGTAGGATGAAGAACATCAGACTCTTTTATTGAGATTAAGCAATCACCCAGGAAGTGGTAGCTGCGGTGCTAACATTCGTGAATCGAAGATTTCGCTGAAATGCCGAATCGAATCCATCCTCGAAATGATGACCTTTCATTTTGATATTATCATGTTCAGGAGCTTTAGCCAGCCGCCCACCGAACGTCACCAGGCGTTTCCAGGCTGCTGCGTCCACCCGGTGATATGAAATCAACACCACCAGTGTCTCTGTCAACTTCTTCACCGGTGATGCTCTGAAACAGTCACTATGAATTCACCCGGCGTCTCGGCATTCACCGAGTGGTAATGCCGTTCCCGCCGATACCAATCTGACTACCGTTCACCGGAATGTCGGCGAAATCAACTGCTCGTATCTCCGGAGATCAACTGCCGTTCCGCAGGCGTCTTTCAGTCAACTACCACCGAACCAATCGGCTGCACCGGTATCTGGTCAACACCAATTGTCTGAAGTCAACTGAATCACTTTGCGTTCCCGACGGCAACACTAACTTGGGCGTCTGGAATTCAACCGAACTACGAGGATGGAAACTGGCTGGATTCACCCGATGATATCCCTTCTGACAACCCAACTGCGTTCACCAGTGATATCCCGCTTTTCGGAGTGTCTCCGGCGCTACCGAGCTCTTCTGGAGTCCCCGCCCGTGTAACGTCTCACCGCCGAATGATGTCCGGAAATCACTGCCGTTCTCGAACGTCGGGCGTTCCCTGCTGCTACCCGCCGGTTTCGAGTACGTTCGCATTCTTCGGTCCCGACTGCTGAATTTCACCGAGCGTCTGACGGCTGCTGCCTGGTGTTTTCGGGATCAACCGGTGGACTCCGGTCAACGCGTTCGGTGTTTCCGATCCATTCCTGGAGTACCGTTCCACAGGTGATATGAGTCAACTGTTCCGCTGAACGTTCGGTGACTGCCGCACCACCAGTGGTCGACTTTGCTGCCCGCCTCGGCTAACGTTCCTGAATAGTCCGGCCATGTATCGCCGCTCTGCTCGAAAATGTTCGAGTGATTCAGACGTCATCATTGTTGGTTTGGTGTGCGACATGATCCGTTCACCGAATTCTGTGCGGCTGGCTGAACGGCGTTTTATTGATATCGGCACATCCTCGGTTTTAATTGACGACATTTTCTTCGGTTCAATATTGGTTACTCGTCGTTGGTGTTTGGTTAAGTTGTCGAAACGCAGTGGTTTTTATTCAGTAGCGGCCTTTAATCAGTGGTTACGTACGGATGTTTTCGTTGTTGAGGACGGCGACCGGTCGGTGTCCTGTTACGGGTCACTTGATGACGTTTGAAGCTCCATCGACGTTTCGAACTAGATGATCACGGTACCGAACGACTGCATGCTCTATCAACGGCAACGAGGAAGGCATGATGTTGTTATGAAAGAATCTTCACCGTGCGGATAACGCTGCTGATCTCGGCTGGTGGAATGAAACTGCTGAACTTACTGTCCCGCTTTGTTTTACTGCCAGGCCGGTTGCCCTGGTTGGCTTCGAGTTGCAGTACATCGCCAGTGTCGGCAGCGAACCGGAGTGGTGATCTGAAACCGATGAATTTTAACCATCTCAACGTCATATTATTTTGCTTAACACAGCTGCTTTCAAACGGCTACAGTATTTAAAACATGCCGTTTCTTTGATGATCAACTAAACATTAACCGGGAGTAAAGAACAGGTTACGAAACGGCTTTTAACTATTGCTGGCATCGTTAAAGTTAACGGATTCTAAATCAACCAAATCGGTCTTGATATCATCTGGAAATCGACCAATGCTACAGTATCGCCAGCGAAGGTAAACCTGTCGCAAATATTTCTTGATCCCTGACGATCTAATATATTCTTGGCGAACCTATTCCAGTTCAATCGGTGTGCCTCTACCTTCGTTTCAAATCAACAGTATTGTTTTCCAGTCTTTCGGAAGGATTGTTGACGAAATCGGTTACTAGGAAGAACTGGGCATCAGTTCAATCTTTCGCAATCAACTGGAGGGCTGCCGAAGATCTATAAGGCTCGTACGTTATGTTTTGTTATTGACCGATCTATACAATTTCGAAGATACGCAATATACGATGATGTTCGCTATTTTGTAAAGAAACTGAAATATATTGGCGGTCTTCTGCGACAATAATGAGTCTTAACTGAAGATAATGATTTTTGCTGTTGGCCGGAAGTATAAATATGATGGCAACAGTAGCGGTATACGTAGTCTTCCTGACGACAAAATTCAACTTGTGCCCTGATTTTATGCGAATAAACGCCACAGTTCGAACAGACTCTGGAAGCCAGATGTCCGAAGGACAACGGCACGGGTTGAACCTACGCCGTCGGTTACGTATTCATGACTTCCTGCGCGGTTTTAGCCATTCAAAATATTCAATGTTTCGACTCAAAATACAAAGTCTGCGCATTTCATCGACTTCGAATTCAACATCTCATCGCAACGGCAAAGAATTCCACGGCAATCTCCTAAACGTGACATACAACCGGCGAATACGGTCAAACGGCTGTATTAACTGAACAAAATGATAAATTAACAGCAGCCCTGGCGTGACTTAATGATCGGCTGAAGTGTTGTGGCTTCACCACTTCCATCTGTCGGTGTAAAGTCCTGTATCATGGTATCAGGGACAGATCTGAGCTTCATTTAATGATAATGGAGATCGAACTGTCGCTCTTACTATCGAGACTTGTTCTGCCGAACTGATTGACGTTGTTCGCCGTCTCTGTGCAATTTGTTTAAACGCGATTGAACTGCACGACTTCGCCGTTCAAATATATACGGAAATCAAAATATTATTTCGGTGATGATATCAATGATTGTCGAAAACTCTAACATTCGGCTTCATCTCTATTGATGTAGGCATTCTTTAACGGCAATACAAATGAACGTGAGCTTACATCGTCCGCTGTATGATCAGTCCGATCTTTGTTTATTAGATTATTTATTAATCTTTCAATCGAATTCCCTATTCCCGACAACTTCGTCATCTTCGTTACATCGTTTCGGGCGGCATCGTGATTACCCATTACCATTTCGTCTATTTAGATCGACAGCAGTGGTCCAATGAACTTTCTGAAACCAACTACTGGTCGACGATGAACGGGTAACCTAAATGGTGACAATAGTTTAACGGTTCGAATTTCCCCGCCACGCAGCCTCCTGGTAAGACCTGTTAAACATCTGCGCAGCCCGGCTGGAACGGTCAGACATTCGTGTGCGTTCAACTCAATCACTGATTTTCTTTAACCATTCTGGCGTTCCGGCTCTTGCGGTTGTCTGGTTTCCCTTTCTCTGTCAGCGGAGCAACAACGCACTCAGCCATGATGGCACCAGTAGTTCGATATTGTTTTGCTGTCGGCCTTTCTCGGCTGAAGTTTGGGGCCATGTTGGTCGCGTCGTCGGCACACTGGTATGGTGCTTTCCCCGGCTGAAACCGGGATGGCGTACGTTCTGCAAAATACAGCTTTGCACTTATTTTCGCCGGCTGGTTGGGATGTGAGCACTCCACGCTGCTGACACATGATGTTCGGCTGAAGTGGAATTATGAATTTGCTGCGTTCTACAAGCCGGCACATAATGTTGTCTTTAAGTAAGTTTGCGTGGCGAGACACATATACGCTATTGTCAATCGCTTTCCTCGGCTGGTAGAGATATGTTGGCCCGCGTTCTACAAACGACGCTATGATAATCTCATCTTCCGTCACTACGATAGCCCGGCAGGTGATGTATCTGATTCTTCGAAACGTGGGCTGGTAATATAAATTGATGACGGCCAGCTGACTGGCTTCGCTTCAATGACGGCACTGGCTAACTGTATGACGAATGATACCGATACTGGTGCGTCTCGTAGCTGGTCTTCGAGACGTGTTTGACGCGAGCGTACTTTTCAATGCGGTCGGCAGCTCCGGCGGGCTCGATGAACTAGAGGGGCGGCACGATCGACACCCTATGGCGTCTTCCCAGCATGCGCGGTTTGGATCGAGCCGATGAATGACGTGAAGCAATCCGGAGTTCAACGTCCCGATGCCAACTTTCTGCTACATAATCATGCCAACAATATTCCAACGGCTTTCTTGGAATAAATTTTGTTTTTACCGCCATCCTGCATCACCGTATTGCTGGGTCAACTCCACCCCGGGCGCACCAATGGCGATACGATAGACTATTCTCGGAGACATGACAAACGTGAATCGTGACACCAGGCGTCATGGAATGCTGTTTATTACGAGCAAAATACCGTTGCGACGCCGAACGAAACCGAGTCGGGTCGCTTGTCTTGGCCAGCAGAACACGGGTCGAAAACCGGTTTATGAAATAAGGATATTTCTGAAACGACAGCGGCAGTCAGTTCAAGCGCCACGCTGACAACAAATGATTCGGGCTGACCCTGACGCTGTCGTCGCCGGTAATGTTGAACTCATTCTGGCGGCGTTGAAGTTGTTTAGGATTTTATTCTCGTTTTGGTATTGATGATATGCCCGTTAACGGCCCAGCTTGTAATAATCGGCTATCTGTCGTATGGACTACGTCCTTTGAACTGCGTGATCATGCTGCGTATCCGGAGTATCGCTGAAACGGATCAACAGGCCCGTTACTGCTCCGAATGCACGGCACTACTTGTTTCTAACGGTGTAGCCTGTTCGGTATTGGTGACGAGGAAGACACTCGTATTACTGCTCAATGTTCTGGGCGAAGATAATAAAGCTGTCGGTGATTGAAACGCGGCTTTCGACCAGTATTGACGTATTTCTTTCAAACCAACTCTCCTGCAGCACGGCTGTACGCCAGTGTCTTGTTTACAGATGATTCAGTAACCGGTATTAATGGGCAAATGTTTTCTGTCATTAACTTTAATGGCGACATATTTTCTTTCCGACCGGTTCGTTTTCGGCGACGAACGTCGTGAAACCGCAGATCTTTACTGGGTAACGGTCTGTTCAGAGTTTTCGCGAATTCGCCTGTATTTGTCATTGACTTCGCGTTTTATGTTTATAATGCTGTACGTCGTTGACGGCTGTATGGTATGTTGAATATATCGTCGTCCTTTCACGAAGGTCATCGCTTGCATTTATCGTTGGGTTGGAGACCGAACAACGCATGAACGCACCGGCTGGCCTCAGGACAGGTTCGCTTCTGCCACCCGATGGATCAGCCGGGACAAAACGGTGGTGGAAGATTTGTCACCTGGTGCAGAAGCTACAATACTGCTGGAAACTTCGCAGATCGCGTAACGTCGATGATGACCAGTATTATAGTGTTGATATTACTGGTGGCTGGATCCACTTGCTGATATTCGGTAACGCTGCGCTACTGCTTTCGAATTTAACCAGTCCCGGAAATTGAAGTGCATAAACCGATCACCGGAGGCCGGAAGATGACCGCCAACCGGCCCCGGAGATGGAGAATGTGCGCCAACAACGGTGGTGACCGAACAATGGCTAACATCGAAGTCGGGAATTAGCGGTACACCAAAGGAACGGAAGACGACCGCGGCAATGGAGGAAGCGACGCCAACTGCCGGCCTGTTTCTTGCGCGAAATATCAAATGGGCAATAACAGCCCTGGCTGAACGTGACTTCGTACGGAAGCCAATATTCCGGTATTGTGGCACGGAGAAGCTTTGCCAGATAAATGTCGTCGATGACATGGAAGTGTTCGGCGGCGATTTTAACGTATGGTCGTGATGTACTGATGGTAATATACTGCGAACGGAACAATCAGCGACGAGGACTGTCAACACCAACAATGTTTACCGTCAATCTTTCGACGACCGCCGCCCTTCCTGCTGATCTTTCGGATCGGCGAGATCACTTAATGTTTGATTATGATCGATGACGGCGAAAATTCTGGGAATACCTTCTAAAGGTGATAGTCTGTTTTGTGGTATCTTGCTGATGTGCGCCAACTTCGCGAACGGCAGATACGGCGCTGATACCGGGATGATCGATAAATGGCTTTATTCAACGAACAAAGGTGATAACAACCAGCCGATGCGGACAGAGATGTTCGTAACAATAACGATCAACAGCCGGCTGGTAACTTAACAGCTACCAGTGTCCTGAACGTTGACAGTCAACGATCGTGTCTGTCGTCTTCGTTCAAACCAAAACTGAACAATGAAGATTTGCTCGGGAAAATGGACCATGAATTATGACTTCCTGATGATTGTCGGTGCTGGCGGAAGACGATTACCAAACTTCGTAAACTGGAAGACTGACGATTCGACACTGCGGCTGGTGCCGATCCGACTACAGGTCGCCGCTGACGGTGTTATTGATTTGGTATGAACGTATCAATTGGATGTCGGTTACGCACAATGATGGAACAAAATGAGTTCGCATCAGGGGCGCTTCGATTTCGATAATGGCGATATCGTCATGCCTGAATCTCGTCTTGCTGCCAACTGGCTGTGCTATTGATTTCTCCATCGATCGTAAATAACTTTAAAATCTCGACCTGATATCTCCATTCGTTTGCGGGTATCGTCAATCTGCTGAAATCTGATCGATCACTGACGCCAGGCAACGTATTGATGACCGTATTTCCAGCTAAAGGTGTTATTATTAAGGCTGATAACGGCTCGGCTGATATACTGGTCAACACCATTTGCACCGGTTTCGATAATGTTGTTCCATCCGGTCATCGGAACTGGCAACATGAAGCGAACGGACGAAAATCGCTTTGGTATCTGGCACCACAATGTCGAACCGACTGAAGTCATATTGATGAACAATGTTGATGTAACGAACGACTTCGTCTTCCAAGGTGTTACGACTATGGTTAAGGGGACTACTTCTGCGGGTATGTAGTGCAATGAAGTGACGACGTTTCATTTCTTCGTGCGGTCATTTTTGATGGAGACCGCTATGATGACCGAACGATACCTTTATTAAATGAACTGAGGTAAATGTTGTTATAGAGCTTGTTTCGCATTCGGGCAACTTCTGGTCGTGCTTTCCCGTGCGCCAATTGCGAATGGCCATCGTCCATTTCGGTTATTAACGGCATATTTTAGCGTTATGTTGATTATTCACGACTAACGGTCAACCCTTGCGATCCTATCGATGAAACCGCGGGTTGTTGGCGTCTACGCAGGCTTTCGTCTGGTAACCGACCATCGGAGGCTGTTTCGCTATATATCGAGCGTATTGACGGCTAAACGCAGATAGTGGTGACTGATTCGTCATCGCGGTATTGAAAACGCAGATCCTTTGATGCGATATTTCGTCGTTGATGCGCAACTGATTGACACAATGCATCGTTGATTATCTTCGACCGGTTGATGATACGTGCTGGTACTGGTGCGGAACACAAACGGACGAAATCGCTGATCTGGAAGTCGATAACTGGTGAATGATCTGAGGACAATGTATTGATTGACGTCGGCGATCGGGAAAATACCGGCGATATTGTCGCATGGATCGTGATGATAATCCGGATAAAGGCATGATTTGCGGTCTGTTCGATGGTTTGGTTTTGGCGAACGATGATAACAATCTGCTTCGGATCTTGTTCATAATGCGTTCGATGATATGACGATATATCGTAATGATGTTTCGTCAATGATCGAATCGAACATGATTCGTTCGCTTTGAATGAACGATTGATCGTTCGGCTAATGATAATCATCGTCGCTTCGACAAACGATGATGATGGAACGCCTGATACCTAATGACGTCTGCGATCCCCGAACTGGCAGACTGTCACTATTCTAAATATTTGCCCGATGACTTTGAAACCTCGGCGACGTGCGTGTGCAGGAATTCTGTTGCATGCAAACCCGATATTTCCACCGCCGAGTGAACTTAACGCCAGCTTATGCATGATTTTGAATAACCAACGGCTGTGTTCGCCAACGAAACAAAACAAAAGCTATGCAAAAGCAAAAATATTATTCATTGCAGTATTCGAAGTTGGTTTTAATTTTATCGAATACATGACGCGTTTTTGTGGATGGCAACTTTAACATTTTTCTGCTCTGTTATAAAGCATGTTTACCTGTTGCACTTTCGAGCAGAAGTTAACTGCACCGAGCATAAACGCCAGAGGTGACCATCACGTGATAATAGCAAATTGCGTGATGACCGAAAGATAGAAGACAAGCATAACAAATGACATTTGCTTTCATACAACATGTTCACTTTATTGTTGTAACACCGGGCGCCCGATTGTCGGCTCGGCGCTGGGTAGTCGTGGTTGATGTTGAACAACCGGCACGACTTTACGCTGAAAAACAATGGAAACCTATTTAATCTGAAGCGGCTTTCTTGAGGACGCTATCTTGAAAACACTTTCGTACCGTAGTTTTCGCTTCATTCTAGGCTTACTAGCGATGGTGTTCAGCTATTGCCACTGTTTCAACAGCGCTTGCCGTCTGCACAAAGGATGATATTCCTGGACTACAGCGGACCCAAATCTGTTCAACCAACCATTCGGCTTACGGTGATCATTGAACCGGATCGGCGCGACCGGCAAAAGCAACTGGCTTTGGCATTATGATGATGACGGCAATCCTGAAAACTTAACCAACGACTATTAACTTTCATCCGACGATAACGGCATCTCTGGGTGCCAATGAAGAAAGGTACCACTAACGAACTTCTCTACTGGCTTTTACCCTACGGCTTCAGGCTGGCGCGGACTGCGGCGACTGAAGATCGCCGCATATCGTCCAATCTGGCGTTATTACACTACAACGGTTTGGCTTTGATCGGCTTTACTACGAAATGAACAACTGTTTCGCCCCGAAGTGTTGAAGCGACTGCCCCTCCCCAAGTGAACAATGATCGGCAACTGCCAATTAACCTGATCGACCGACTTTTCGTAGCAACCGGAGTCGGCTGCCGTACAGGTCGGCAACTGTTTCACCTGCTGGTCGGCAGTTCTGATCATCTGATGTTGACGACATCGACGGTAGCACCACACCATGGGCCAGATGCTGCAATGATGAAGAAGATTTGATCGGTAACGGTATGACGAATTGGCATCTTGCGGCTGTTTGTAATGAATAACGCCGTGATTATACGGCTGAAACGAGAAGGTGACTACGAGGAAATGAGGAAGTGTTCTGCGACCGATTACGCACTACTGCAGACTTCGAAGTGTTGAAATTCGATGATACCTTCATCAAAGACGGTGCCGACGGTGATGGAGCGGTGGGCTGGGAACGGAGTGAACGGTATGAGCTGTTCGTGAAGGACGTTGGTTGGGCTGGGCGGATGGGCTGGTGGACGCGATACGCAGAATGGTGGGCGACGGTCGGTGAACAAGTCAGATAGGCGGGACAAATTCGTTCGGGCATCGTCGCGACGGAACGAACGTTGTTGCGACGAACGTGGCGGTTGGTGGACGTTGAAACGCTGGTGAAATCGGTTGAAGTGCGGCGCGAAGACATGCGGCAGCTGGAAAATGCGGGGCTATTGCGCTTTCGAAATCGGCCGAATCGACTACGGCGATTAATATGCGACAATGGTGGCGAATTGGTGGGCGTAGCGATTATGGAAACCAGGCTGACGGTAAAGGCGTTGTTGCTTAAGCGCCCGCAGCTTCAGTCAGGTGCAGGACGCGAAATGATCGTAACATCAAAGCCAACACCGGGCAGCGAACAAACCGGAACGAAGTGATCGACAACATCGAAACTTGTCGACCGGCAGTGCGGAACGGTAACTCGAAGCCCGGCTTTGATGCAGAGTCAATTAAGGACGAAGGTGATCGTAACGTGACAAACCGGCGGCGCAATGGTTCGGCAACATCAAAGACCAGCACAGGCATGAATGCCGATCCCGGGTGTCCAGCTGCCATTCGGTGACCGATCTTCCCACTGTTACATATCGTCGATCCAAAGTTTGGGCGGTGTTCAACCGGCGTCAACCGACCAGAACATGGTTTAACCGACGATTGTACGGGAAAGGCGTGTCAACTTTGCGAGACGAAATGACGACTGCCATTCGGCAGAAAGACCGATATTTCCACTGATCACCAAAGTATTAACGGACTGACCATCGATCGGTGGTTGGAATGTATATACAATAACAACTGGTGCGAGACGAAGTGATCGGCTCGGCAGCTTCGATGACCACGAGAAAACCAACGACCGACAGACCAAGAGTTTGAAAGCGGAAGTTCTTTGTGTCGAAGTACTAATTGCTAACTATTTTCTTCCAGATGCTAATATTCAGTGGCAATCCGCCTTTCTATCGCTGTTCAATAGACATTGGAATTCGCTTAATGAAAACTTTGCGTACTTCATTTTCCGGTATCTGAATCATCATTCAGTATGGTACAACGGTGCTGACTTAAACCACAACACCGGTGCTCGGCGAAACTGTTTTGTTTGTTACCGTTTCGAGACATTCAATGTACTACGCATCACGTCTTGATCTAGATGCATGAGACTGCTACTCCTTCGGTCTGCGGAAAATCCACTGCTACACTCATCCACGCTATGCGAGACCGCAAAATCTAGAGGTGATATTATCGACTGACTCTCAATATCGAACTGACGCGAATCAATGGACAAGGGCAATGGTTGAAACCGGAATATCAATGCTAATATCTCACGGTGAATATTATTACTTACTCCATCGGATGGACCTTCCAGTATGATGCGAACTCTAAATTACGCTTTTAACCTGCATCTGTCGTCTTAAAAAGCGTTTGTCTTCAACTAATTCCAGATCGATTCGCGATGTATTCATGCAATAATATTGGCTTATTCTGTTTACTTCATGTTAGTCAACACCGGAGTGCTGGAAACTGGCGTGGAACATACTCACTCGCTGAAAAGGTCGAAACAACCTTTCGGTATTTTACGCGCAAAACGACGATAACCATTTATTGGTAATGGATCGGCGAAGGATTTAACGATACTTTGTTGTGATGTAACATCATGCATGACATAACGGCAAATATAAATGTTGTAATGTTGGCACCCAAATGCGTAACGTGTCTCGCTGAATTTCAACCGGAAACTGACGGTAACTGTGGATCGTCGATTGACAATCTCGAATCTAACTTCGGTCGGGAAACGATCGCTTTCTTATCGTTGATACGGAAACGATGATGTTACTTTCTGGCGGAGACAATGGCAAGGTACTTTCATGACTGTTAAAACTGAGCCAGTCGCGGAAGAATGTTCGGCTGCTGTGGTTTCGTTGCGTCAGCAAGGATTTTTACTGATGTCGTATGATCGCCGATTGCGCGTTATCGTTTATGAACGGCTTTGATGAACGATAAGACGGATAAAGTGGAACGTGTTCGGTGAATTCGGTACGAAGTACGAACTGACCGTTGAGGAGAAGCGATGCTAAACGTATGGACGCTGCAATCTGACTGTGGTGAACATCTGATGAACGATGAAAGAAGATAAATCTTGCCGAACTGGTACTTCTACCCTGTTATCTGCTGATGCACGGCTTCTCCTCGCTTGTTGCGTGTTGCTTCATTGATACTCTTGGTCAACATATGCGACTACGGCGCTCGAGATGAACAACCTATTATTGACATCGGGCACCATGCCGGTATTAACGATATTCTTTCGTCGAGACATGTTGGGGTATATCGGTTGGGGTCGATGGTATTTGATGGGGAACGGTGAATGTTCCCACGTTGTCGACAGCTTAGCTGGAAGGGTAGATATTGTTTGGAAGGTGCTTTCGGCACATTTGGTAATGCGGATAGGTAGTGAACCGTTGATATATCATTTAACGTATCGTTATTTTATTGATTGACATTTTCCGTTGATTTTGGATTTCTGTCCGCTGACTTTGAAATGAACGGTAGATGCTGACTTTAACGAACAGCTGTTCCACGGAGGAGATGTCAAATTAACGGTTAATATTGAACAACTTCCCCATCTGCGACGAACCGAATACCACTGTGTTCTTTCTTTGAAGATGAAATGGCTTTCGTCTGAAAACAATACGTGACGCCATTAATGAAGGTTTTGATATCATCGTCAATTGTTTAAGAAAGAATCATTTCACGGAATATTTCAACAACCGGCCCGCGGAAATTGCCCAACAGGCGAATGAACTGACAGCTGGTAATTAGCCTCTTTCGGAACCAGTCGCGACTAAACGCCACATTTCATGGGACTTCCCATCATGATGCATTTGCTCTGTCGACATAACCTTTAACTGACTGGAGCACTATACCATTGTCTCTTCAATTCAAAGAAAGATGACAACGACTTTCATTTAACCGATATGAATCTCCTCTCTGCCATCGATAACAACGCCTGATTGACTTTGCTGAACAAATACATCCGGGTGATAAACTTCTATCATCGCCATTGTGCTTTCGGTGTTTCGAATTCTACTCTACGACATTTATAGCTGAATGCTACGAACGAACTGGAGACGGTACGACCGGGTTAAGCTTGTTGACGGACTGTTTCGACCATTTTCATCCGGTGTTCGGCGAACTATGAAATTGTTGTATATGTCGGTAAATCGCTAACTTTATCACTGAAGGAACGGCGGGACATTTAGTCGGAGAACGTGCTGATCTCAAAGAAGTCGGTTCAATACGACTGTTACGTATTTACACCGCCGACAATCTGCAACCGCTGCTCGACCGTTCACGTTTTCCGGCGGCGCTTTCGACGGCAGCTCCCCGGCGACAGCTGTTGCGACCCGCTGTGGATCGCTCCCTCAGGCGGCATATTTCGAACTGGGAGTCACGGATAACTGAAAACTTTACCCGAAACGAATGACGTGAAACACATAACATTGATGAAGACTTGACGGAAGGCGCCACGTATTGCATATCTGTTTGATCGCTGATCATAGGGCGGGGTTAACTCCAGTACGCGACAAAGTGTGGTGAACTGGTCGATAGCAAAGAAACTACGCCTGCGAATATTTAGTTTACGATAATGATTAAGCTGATGTCAGGACATTACTGCTGGGCGAGCTGGCCGAATGCCGGTAATCGGCTGCTTCATCAGAAGGAACTTCGGTCGTTGCCTTTCTTCACATCTGTTACGATACGGCTGTCGCGCCCGGTGTGAGCAACGAAAACCATCGTTCTCCGCCGGTGCCCTTCCTTCCGAGCCAGCGACCAACCTCATATAAAATGAAGCGTGTTCACTCCGGTGGGCCTAACAATGAACTTTGCTTGAAATGGCTGGTCTTTGTATCGACCGGTAACGGCACCACTGTTTCTAGCTGATGTTAAATGTCTAACGATGCTGAGCTTTCTTTGATGTCTGCGGGCGGCTAAAGAGAACCGCTGTTTATTCTGGGTTACGCCTGAACTTCAACTGACGACATTGACAACGGCTAAATATGCATTAAACCAGTACTTGTGCACTACTGTGTCATCTGGAGACTCGTGAATAAACCTTGATCAGTGTTTGCGGCATCAATGGCGACGATGACAATCGTGGTCATCGCTGATGTGTCGGCAACGCCAATGACATCGTACCCTGACCTGCCGCTCCCGTGGTGAATCGAAGGCTGGCTACCTGGAAACGTGCAACGCTTGTCGAGAGGTACCAGTGACAACTACGGGCGAAGACACGGCTGTCTGGCTGTTTGCGAAAGATGTTGTATTGATGCTGGCGATAACGAATGCAAACGTTCGGAAACTGGCTTGAAGGTCTAAACATTGCTGTTTGGTATGACGTACGCGAATTTCTTTATCGAAATTACGCATCCGCTGTACCTGCTGCCTGGCGATAACCTCGTCTATGGCGACTGTTGACGAGTCGAACAGTGTCCCATGCGTAGTGATATTGAAATTGTTATGATAAGCAACTTTTCTTTGAGCATAAGTCGGACGAATTGCTGGCCGGAATAAGTAACACGGTGAACGCGTCGATGGCGTAACGATGATGTTGGTTGTCTGTTCGTGTTACGAACCATATATTGCGTTAAACAGACGGCTGTCGACATTATTGTGATGTTCGCCAGACTACGACATACGCTCATTGCACCGTTGTTATGGTTGATGACTTCCGCGGCGGCTGCGCCCAGGCAACGGCGATGCCACTGCTGTTGACGACGATCAGGTACGAAATGCGTATCGGGGCCGCGCAACAATCGCTGGCACCAGTAACTGTTTGTTTGACCAATATTGTGTTCGCATTGAGCAGGCCGTCCATCCGTGTTTGAAACTGAAGGCAATTCAGAACGTTTATCACAGATTATAGATCTCGTCTTTGACCTTAAATGAACGCATTTAACGCTGTATATCCGGGGATCTCGCTGATTTTGACTGTTGAAGGCTCGTGATGTTCGACCGCCAACATCAGCTTCGGTCACGATAACCAGCTTGATTGACTTGTCTTGTTCGAGA